CACACACACACACACACACACCACACACACACACACACACACACACACACACACACACACACACACACACACACACACACACGCGGGCATAAACACGGTAAGACGAGCATCTAAACCTGTCACTAAATACTGATAAATCATTGAAGGAACCCTCTTTTTGATGTATGCAGTCATATGTAATTGCACGCGCACAGACGTATACAGTTATATGTGTATTTGCACGTACTGAGAGTAACTGCAGGCGGACTGATTCGACGAGGACGACGTCAGTGGCCACATGTATTGACACGAGCTGTTGAGATTGACCGGGCTGTTCATCGATGACGTAGGCATGGTCGGCACGAGAGTCTGTGACGTCACCGTCCACTGCTGTGGCATCGACTGAGCGCTGTCCGAGGCTGTGACGTCACGCGTGTAGTTACCTAGAGATAAAAAGTAAAAAGAAATTTTATAGATAATTAAGTATTTGTTTAATTATTTCTATAGTCGTGATATTGTTTCGCTTTGTGTTATTTTGTGTGTGTTTGTTATTCGTTGTCGTTTGTGTAACACTTTTGTTGCGGTAATTATTTTATTGCGCTGGGCCAAAGAAATTCTAAACCTTTTTTTCTCAATTTTCGCCAAAAGTCAAACGTCAATGTTGTTAAAAAATCATTCTGACTCGGCCACTGTTTAAACCAGCGACGCAAACTCAAAGTTCTCAATTCCCATCTTCAAGAAACAAACAATTATTTTTTTGGCGACCAATTTACCGCTTCAAATTTCAAATTAATATTAAAATCCGTTCCCCTGAAGCACATTCAACATTAATCGCGCGAAAACGATAACCAGTGAAACTCTGCATGTATCACGGCAATTGTGACGTCTACCATGACGACACACACGTTTGTGACATGCAGTGTGACAATAATGCTCGGCAATCGGACAGCGTGATGGCAGCGTGGGAGTTGTCACATCACCGGCACACTTGTCACTCTACCGCTGATGATGAAGTTGACGAACGCCGGCCCGCCGCCGCTGCCACACTTGTCACCCGAGTGACGCCCTCCCCCCGCTACCCCTTCCCCCAGCAGCAGCACAAGATGACTCAGACTTTATACTACACGGGGGGAACTATTAGGTCTAATCTCCGCGCGCAAGCTAACTTCGAAGGCGTACCTCGCCGTGGCAGTTCACTTTTTTATAGAAGGGATCATAAAAAAACGCGCGCGACGTTTCGTTCTCTAGCTGCCGTTAACCCGGCCAACATGGCGGCCGGCGCGGGGATGTCACGTGATCGGCGGTGTCGACGCGCGCCGCGTGAGCCCGCGCTAACAGGGCAGCGTATTACTGTCCCGCGCAAATTACAAGCCGCCGATGTCGGAGCGCCGCACGACAATACCAGCCAGCGCAATGTCCGCCGGCTGTGCGTGCGCTCTTCATCCTGCAGCGGTTATATGTACGAGTCCACGGCGCGAAAGACGACAACAAATGGAGCAGGAAATTGGTGCGTGGCGCGCGCTACTTGTATGCTTTATATACGTGTATGTTATAGCTTAGTACGATGTGCGCGTGTACAGTTGGTTGGCGGTACGTGTGTGACCGCTTCTGCAATAAATCGTGTGCGTCTGTGCGTTCGTGTGTACGTTCGTGTTTATAAGTGTTGACGTGTGTGTGTGTGTGTGTGTGTGTGTGTGTGTGTGTGTGTGTGTGTGTGTGT